CCTGACCACTAATAAAAGCAGAACTGCAGATTGGTTTGAGGGGTGTGACTGCCTCTTGGATTTATTAGTCCAGCTTTTGTTCCTGTTTCTGCCACTATTTTTCCTGACTTTGGATACCACTAAGTAAAACTGTGATTGTTGAGTAGTAATATAGTGTTTGTGAAATGAATAGCCATTGTTGAAAATAATTATTGGACGAGGGTTGCAAATCTTCTGTATTGAAAAAAAATCTGACCTGCAATAGAACACTGCCTCGGGAAAGCAACCAACCTAATCAAAGAACACCCCTTCCTGCACCCCCAACTCCCACAATTATACACTCTTCAACCCTCTTCCATCAAGCAGACGATGCCAAAGTTTGAATACGTAGGCCAACAGATTCAAGAACACCAAAAGTCTGATAGCAGCAGGGAAGGTGAATGGACCTAATGTTGGTCCTCCCCTCTCCCCTGCACTTGCACTGGCTGTGACACTCCTCTTCACTATATTCTGCTACCCTGATGCACTTTATATGAAATGATCTGCCTGTATAGCACACATAACTAATGTGGGTTAATAGGACTTTAAACTAGTGAATAGGGGGGAAGGGATAAGTGAGCGTACAGGAAGAATAACAATTAATGTAAGGCAAAGCAGCAGGTTAGCAGGTGACGAGGAAGCTTCAACTCCATTGAAAATTAGGAAAAAAGTTAAAGGGAAAGAGAACTTGAGCTGTTAGTAATGGAGGTAATAGGACCCAAAAAGAAGGTGCAAAAACTGGTGTAAGGGCACTTTATCTGAATGCTTGGAGCTTTTGAAACCAGGTGGATGAGTTGACATTGCAAATCATGGCAAATGGGTATGATTTAGTGGCCATTACAGAGACATCATTACAGGATGGTCATGACTGGGAGTTAAATATCCAGGGATATCAAACTGTTCGGAAGGACAGACAGGAAGGTAAGGGAGGTGGTGTTGCTCTGATTTTTAAGGATGATATCAGGGCGGTAGTGAGAGATGATATAGGTTCTACTGAACAAAATGTTGAATCCATTTGGGTGGAAATTAGGAATAGCAGGGAGAAGAAGTCACTGATACGTGTGGTCTATAGGCCACCAAATACTGACATCGTGGTGGGGCAGGCAATAAACATAGAAATAGCTAATGCATGTAAAAATTGTACAGCAATTATCATGGGGGATTTTAATCTACATACCGATTGGTCAAACCAGGTCGGTCGTGGCAGCCTTGAGGATGGGTTCATAGAATGCATCTGCGATAATTTCCTTGAACAGTATGTAATGGAACCTATGAGGGACCAAGCTATCCTAGATCTAGTCCTGTGTAATGAGACAGGAATAATTAATGATCTCGCAGTTAGGGATCCTCTCGGAAGGAGCGATCACAGTATGGTCGAATTTAAAATACAGATGAAGCGTGAGAAGGTTAAATCCAGTACCCATGCCTTGTGCTTAAACAAAGGAGACTATGAAGGAATGAGGGAGGAGTTAGCTAAGGTAGAATGGGAGCAAAAACTTTATGGTGGGTCAATTGAGGAACAGTGAGTGACTTTCAAAATGATTTTTCACAGTGCTCAGCAGAAGTATATTCCAGTGATGAGGAAGAACTGTAGGAAAAGAGAGTGTCAGCCATGGATGTCTAAGGAAATAAAGGAAAGTATCAGATTTGAAAAAAAAAAACACCAACAAAAAAGCAAAGAGTAGTGGGAAACTAGTAGAGTGGGAAATCTTTAAAGGCCAACAGACAGCCACAAAAAAAGTTATAAGGAAAAGAAAGATTGAGAGTAAACAGCTCAGAATATAAAAACAGGCAGCAAAAGTTTCTATAAATATGTAAATCATAAGAGTGGCAAAGGTAAACATTGGTCCTTTAGAGGATAAGAAGGCCAATTTAATAACTGGGAATGAGGAAATAGCCGAGACATTAAACAGTTATTTTGAGTTGGTCTTCACAGTGGAAGACACAAATAACATGCCAAAAACTAATGGCAAGAAGGTTATAGCAGGTGAGGACCTAGAAACTATCATTATCACTAAGGAGGCACTGCTGGGCAAGCTAATGGGGCTAAGGGTAGACAAGTCTCCCGGCTCTGATGAAATGCATCCCAGGGTACTAAAAGCGGTGATGGGGGAAATAGCAAATGCACTAGTAATTATTTACCAAAATTCACTGGACTCGGGTTGTTCCTGCAGATTGGAAAACAGCCAATGTGACGCCACTGTTTAAAAAAGGAAGTAGACAAAAAGCAGGTAACTATAGGCCAGTTAGCTTAACTTCAGTAGTGGGGAAAATACTTGAATCTATCATTTTTAAGGAAGAAATAGCAAGACATCTGGATAAAAATTGTCCTATTGGGAACACCCAGCATGGGTTCACGAAGGGTAGGTCATGTTTAACTAATTTTGTGGAATTCTTTGTCAGCCATGCAAGTAATGTCCTCAATGGGGAACCTGTGGATGTGGTGTATCTGGATTTCCAGAAGGCATTTGACATGGTGCCACACCAAATGCTGCTACATAAGATAAAGTTGCACGGTATTACGGGTAATGTATTGGCATGGATAGAGGATTGGTTGACCAGTAGAAAGCAAAGAGTAGGGGTAAATGGGTGTTTTACTGGTTGGTGGTCAGTGGCTAGTGGTGTGCCTCAGGGATCAGTGTTGGGACTGCAATTGTTTACAATTTACATAGATGATTTGGAGTTGGGGACTAAGTGTGGTGTGTCAAAATTTGCAGATGACACTAAGGTGACTGGTAGAGCAAAGTGTGCAGAAGACACAAAGTCTGCAGAGGGATATAGATAGTCTAAGTGAGTGGGCAAAGGTCTGGCAGATGGAGTACAATGTTGATAAGTGTGAGGTCATCCATTTTGGTAGGAATAACAGGAAAATGGATTATGTTTTAAATGGTAAAAAATTGCAGCATGCTGCTGTGCAGAGGGACTTTGGGTGTCCTCGTACATGAATCACTGAAGGTGGGATTGCAGGTGCAGCAGGTAATTAAAAAGGCAAATGGAATTTTGTCTGCCATTGCTGGAGGGATGGATTTTAAAAACTGGGATGCTATGCTGCAGCTGTATCGGGTCCTGGTGAGGCCACACCTGGAGTACTGTGTGCAGTTTTGGTCTCTTTACTTGAAGAGATATACTAGCACTGGAGGGAGTGCAGAGGAGATTCACTCGGTTGATTCCAGAGTTGAGAGGGTTGGATTATGAGGAGAGGCTGAGTAGACTGGGATTATACTCATTGGAATTCAGCAGAATGAGGGGAGATCTTATAGAAACATATAAGATTATGAAGGGAATAGATAAGGTGGAGGCAGGGAGGTTGTTTCCGCTAGCAGGTGAAACTAGGACTGGAGGGCATCGCCTCAAACTAAAGGGAAGCAGATGTAGGACTGAGGTCAGGAGGAACTTCTTCACCCAAAGGGTTGTGAATCTGTGGAATTCCCTGCCCAGTGAAGCGGTTGAAACTACCTCACTGAATGTTTTTAAGGCAAGGCTAGATAAATTTTTGAACAGTAAAGGAATTGAGGGTTATGGTGAGTGGGCGGGTAAGTGGAGCCGAGTCTCAAAAAGATCAGCCGTGATCTTATTAAATGGCGGGGCAGGCTCGAGGGGCCAGATGGCCTACTCCTGCTCCTAGTTCTTAACACCTTTTTTCACTATTGCTATATATGACTGCAATAACTCAAACTGATGAAAAGGCCATGAGATTAAGAATTCTGCAGTAAAAATATTTAAAATAAGCATTCTACTCTTTCAGCTCTCCATAGCATGTGATTAATCAATGGAAGAGAGAATGCTAGTCAATAGATCAGTTTATGTTGAACTGGATCAAACTGGAGAGCATAATACTGAGATATATACCCGAACTTGGATTATAGGATGCTTAACTATTTATCAATTATAAACATAATTTCAATTATCTTCCTATTGCTTGGATGCTGTTGAGGCTGACTTTCACAGTACCCTAGAAAGATGCCTTTGATACATTAGTTGTGATTCCTATTCAATGAGACTATGGTGTCACCATTTTCATGAAATTTTAGAAGAAAATGCCTTGCACGCAACTCAAGCAATTGATGTAATTTGGCATGTATAGATACACAGCAAGCATCTATCACCTCAGTGAGAAACATCTCATTAGCTTGCTTCCCTAAAGATTGGCATTCTGGCATGAGTTTCAGACATGGCACATCTTAAAATTGACTCCAGGCTTGTGTCCATTTAAGTATGAGCAGTGGTTGCTGAAAAGTTTGAATCGTACTGTGATTGGTCTTTGCTTTCCATCCGTTGTCATTGAATATTATTTGCCTTCAACCATGATGTGGTCTGTTTGAAGATTCATTACTGGGTGTGATTGTTTTTGCTAATTGATTGCAAATTTGTCAATAATAGTATCTCTGATCTCCAAACATTATTGTTAATGCTTTCATGGGTCTGAAGTTTAATCCATGTTGCAGAACACTTAACCAATTAGTAATCCAGAAAGTAAAGCATATAGAGAATAAAACAGATTTGTATCTACTTCGAGCCAAGTACTTTGAAAAGTGTAAACAAGCATGCTTTCATTAAGGCAAATCATGCTTTATTCCTTAAGAATTCTTTAGTATGCATGCCTCAGCACTGGCAATCTTAATTAATGCAAAACTTGGCATCAGTGGAAGGGAGGATATTTATGCTATCTATAACATATTAACATTTTCAACTGAATTGGTTAAGGTTTTCCAGCTCAACATTTTCTCAACACGTTTTGCAATTCATTACGGGATTGAAGTTTAGGAAAGATGGAAAATAGAATATCATGGTTGTACCTTTTTCTACCCAAGAAGGAAGTATCCCCCAGTATATGTGTCTCAGGTTGATTGCACCATCTTCCTACATTTGTATTCCAAAGACTATGCTGATTTCTGGATGAAGACTGATGTTTAAATTGGAGTTAGGTTGCAAGGACTTATACACTTCTTCTGTTTCTAAAATATGTCCCCTCAAATTGACAGAAGTAAATACAACTACAGTTCTCCTCATAAATCTGAAAGGAATGCTGTCTGTGAGTAAAAAGAAAGGAAGAAAGGTGAAAATATATTTCGACTCCACATTTGATGTCCTGAGCACAACCAAATTGGTGTATGGCGAAGAGAAACTACTGGCAAGTTCAAAATTTTACATGGTTCTCAAAGCTGCATGATGTGGTGATGGGAGAAGTAAATTTCATGTCATTTAATATGCCTGAAAATGTCGGGTTTTTTTTCTAAAAAAATTACTTGTATTGCAGAATTTGGTCTCATCTCCTATGGAATCTCAACTGAAGAGCACAAGACTGGCCTCAAATAAGGTAAGCAAACATCATAAAGCTCAAATTTCAAATACAGCAATTCATCAAACCTATTTAAAAATGAACATTTGCTTTATAAAGTTAAGAGCCAAAAAGAGAGAACTGGGAATTATAGGCCAGTTAGCCTGACATCAGTGGTATGGAAATAGTGGAGCTGATTAAGGATGTAATAATTAAGCATTTGGAAAACAGTGACAGAATCTGTCCAAGTCAGCATGGATTCACTGAAGGGAAATCGTGCTTAAAAAATCTTCTGGAAATTTTTGAGCATGAGACCAGTACAATGGGCAAGAATTGTGGATGTGGTGTATCTGGATTTCATATCTTGTGTGGAACTCAAATCTTAGTAAGCAAAATTAAATGTTGTGGTATTGGAGGTAATGTATTGATGTGGATAGGGAACAAGTTGGCGGATAGGGAACAAGTTGGCAGACAGGAAGCAGAGAGTTGGAATAAATGGGTTCTTTTCAGGGTAGTAGGTAGTGATACCTAGGGGACTGCAGTTGTTCACAATAATACATTAACGATTCGGACAAAGGAATTGGATGCCATGTTTCCAGATTTGCAGATGACACTAAGCTGAGTGGCAGTGTGTGCTGTGAGGAGGATGCCTAAGAAGAAGCTGCAGGGTGACTTGGACAGGTTAGGTAATTGGGCACATACTTGGCAAATGCAATTATAATGTGGATAAATGTGAGGTTATCCACTTTGGCAAAAGCAGGAAGATTATTATCTGAATGTTTAGGAAAAGGTGAGGTACAATAAGGCCTGGGTGTCATGCTGGGGTAGTTGCTGAAGGTTGGAATACAGGTGCTGTAAGCAGTGAGGTAAACTAATGGCATGCTGGCCTTCCTAGCGAGAGGATTTGAGTATAGGAGTAGGGATGTCTTGCTGCAGTCATACAGGGCTTTGGTGAGGCCTTGAGTATTGTGTGAGATTTTGGTCTCCTGACCTGAAGAAGGACATCCTTGCTACTGGGGGAGCCCAGCGAAGGTTCACTAGACTAAGCCCCAGGATGGCAAGCCTAACATATGAAGTGACTGGACCAACTGAGTTTGTACTCACTGGAATTTAGAAGAATGAGTGGGGATCCCATAGAAGCACAAAATTCTGATGAGACTAGACAGGTTAGATGTAGGAAGAATGTTCCTGATTTTGGGCAAGTCCAAAACTAGGGGTCACAGCCTAAGAATAAGGGGTAAGCCATTTGGGACCGAGATGAGGAAGAATTTCTTCACTTGGAGTTGAGAACTTGTGGAATTCTTCACCAGAGAAAACTGTTGGGGCCAGTTTTAAGAAACATTCAAGAGGGAGCTGGACGTGGCCCTTGCGGCTGAAGGGATCAAGGAGTATGGAGAGAAAGCGGGACTGGAATATTGAAATCGCATGATCAGCAATGATCATATTAAATAGTGATGCAGGCTTGAATGGCCGAATAGCCTACTCCTGCACCAATTTTCTATGTTTCTAAAACATTGAATGTATATTGGTAATTCATTTGTGCTTTCAATAACTTGCTGTCTATTCACAACTATAAAAGTTATACAGCATGAAACAAATCCTTTATCTCATTCACTTTATGCTGTCAATGTTTTCTAAACTGAGCTAATCCCATTTGCCTGTTTGTCCTATACCCTCAACCTTTCCTCCCCATGTCCAAATGTTGTAATTGTACCTGCTTCCAACTCCAGCCTCTGTGCAAATGTTGTGCCTCAGGTACCTTTAAATTTTTCCTCTCCCACCTTAAACATTTGCCCTCTAGTTTTAGACTCTCCTACCCTGAGGAAAAGACCTCGGGCATAGATAAGATGAATAACTCTCATGATTTTATAAATCTCTATAAGGTCAACAGTCTGCTCCAGGGAAAATAGTCCCAGCCTATCCAGCCTCTCCTTATATCTCCAAACCCTCCAGTCTTGGTAACATCCTTGCAAATCTTTTTTAGCTCCCTTTCCAATGGAATGATATCCTTCCTATAACAGGATGACCAGAATTGTATGCATTCTGCACTCCAAAAGTCGTCTTACAAATGTCTTGTACAGCCGTAACGTGACATCCCAATTCCTGTACTCATTGCTAGGACCAATGAAAGGCAAGTGTGCCAAATGCTGCCTACACTGTCCTGTCTACTTGTGATGCCACTTTAAAGGAACTCTTTGACAATACGCTTATTTTCTGTTTCTATTACTTACACGTCTCTGAAATTTACCTATGTATCTGATCTTCTATTTTTCACACCATTATACTCACAGCAATATGATTTGTTAATTTTTAGATTTTAACTTCTTCCCATGTAGTTTCATTCCCTCTGACTGCTGGAATAAATTCCCTGATCAAAATTGCAAAGTCACCTCCCTTTAGTCTTGTCCTGTCTCATCTGAAGATCCTGTATATTGGTACACTGAGCTGCCAGTCCTGTCCCCTTAATCATTTTTGTGATAACAATGGCATCATAACTCCATGTTTTAACTTGTCTTCAATTCATTTGCTTTGTCAGACTCCTTGCATTAAAATAAATACCTTTATGAAGCTTGCCAATCAATCCCCTGTGCCTTAACCAGTCAATTATTTCTATGCTGCCTTGACTACCTGGCTCGCGCTCTCCCTTTTTTTTTTTTTCCTCTGGCGTGCTCTCCCTCTTTGTTTTTAAAATGTACCCCTTTACAATTGAATTCTTTATCACTATATTCCTGCTGTTCTTCTTCCCCTCTGGGCACCATGGGTAGATCTGCACATGAAGTTGGCTGCCTCTACTTCCCCCTGCATAGTCATCTCCCGCAACAGTATACAAAACATTTATACGTATTAGAAAGGGGGTTAACCATGAGGAACACCTGCACTACCTGCCCTCCTTTACTCCATCTGATGGTCACACATGGCCTTTGTCTGTTCATTCTTCAGCTGTGGTGGAAACACCTCACTGTGCTATATATAACCGATTCAGCAACACTGATGCTCCACAGTGAATTCACCTGCAACTGTAGCCCTGAAATTTGTTCACCAGAAGCTTTTTTTCCTTTATTTACTCACGGGATGAGAGCGTCACTGGTCAGGCAGCATTTATTACCCATCCCTAATTGCCCAGAGAGCAGTTCAGAGTCAACCACATTGCTGTGAGTCTGGAATCACATGTAGGCCAGATCAGGTAAGGATAGCAGTTTCCTTCCCTAAAGGACATTAGCAAACCAGTGGGTTTTTCTGGTACTCGACAATGGATTCATGGTCATCATTAGATTCTTAATTCCAGGTGGAATCCTAATCGTGGGGAAACAGGCCCTTCGGCACAACAAGTCCATGCTGAACCTCGTAGCATCCCACCCAGACCCATCCCCCTATAACCCACCTAATTTCCATATCCCTGAACACTATGGGCAAATTGGCATGGCCAATCCACCTAACCTGCACATCTTTGGATTGTGGGAGGAAATCCGAGTACCCAAGGTAACCCACTCAGACACTGGGAGAATGCATTCCACCATCTGCTGTGGCAGGATTCGAACCCAGGTCCCCAGAACACTGTCTGGGTCTCCTGATTAAGCTTCCAGCAATAATACCTCCTTGGCTGCAGCTGGACACTTCCTGAAGCTTCCATGATTTGCTGCAAAGTACAGAAGAAGCATTCCATAGGTTTAAAATGCTTACTTAAGAATACTGTCAACTCACTTCCCTTATGGTAATTATACTTTTGTTGCCCTACTTTACTTATTTATGTATTATATTGGCCTTGACTTTCACTTATTCCTTCTGTTTCTCCGTTAATCCCTTCTTTGAATAAATACACTTCTGAAAATCCCAGGCCAATCAATGCATCTCTTTGCTGTGATTGTTGTTGTTTTGATTTGTTTTCCCAATTAGCAGATCCCTAAGGCTGCAAATGTTAAACTAGGGTCCCCTTCTCTCTGCTTTGTTGAAGCAGACTTGGAAACTTTTAAAAAAAAAAAAAAAAACCCACAAAATTCTTTAAATATGAAACAAGAAAAGGCCCTCTTTCTGCCATTGCACTAAATTCCCATGGTGCTCAAAATTTCCAAAAACCACTCACTTGGGTTGTGCCTTACTCAGGTTATGTTTCTTACCAACTACTTGTGCAAAGCCTACTGAGGCTTAGCCATAAAGATTTGATTTTCAGGTAACCACTAATGCCAGAATCCTGACATTTCTCTGTACTGTTTCAAATTTAATGACGTGCACATCTCAGGTTTTAATCTCTGAAAGAACTGTCAACGGCACAGTGTTGGAACCTTGCTTGGATTCTGTCCTGAACCTCTATGCCCTTTTAACGTTTTACCTCTTTATGGAATCCGCTTTAAAACCTATCACTGATTAAAATTTTGGTCATCTGCCCAAATATCTTCCCATGGTTCAGTGTCAGGTTTTGCTGTGTTCCTGTACAGCGTGGTAGGACATTATAATAAAAATTGGTGTCCCTGTATGCTTCCCGCTCTCAGAAACAATAATTCTCATTTTACTTCATTATCTTTCTTTTTAACTATCTTTAATTAATCACACAACCTCTCAACTTTGTCTGCTCTAGGAACAATTGTAGCTTCTCTCATCTCATTTCTGGCTGATGTCCATAATATTTTTGTTGTGAATTTCATCCGCAACTAGATAAATGCCTTGGAATCATCCCTGAAATACTCCAGTTGAGCGTCTTGTGCTCTGCCTCTATTTACAAATGTTCACGTCCTCTCTTTTTTTGAGCAGTTGTATCAGCTTGTTCTGCCACCTTTTTTGAAGATTTTGATATTGCTGCTCTGCACCTGTCTGGTGTTGCGACCCTAGTTAAGACATTGCATCCTTGGGTTTGCTTCCCCTTCTCATTGCAGTGATAATGCTCTGACAGTATAGAATGTGAAATTTTCAAATTTTGGGACCGCAATAATCAAAGAACAGTGCTTGTCTAAGTCAGCATATGTGAGGCTTGCAGATATTGTATAATCTAAATCTCTAAGCATGATGAAAACACTGGTGGGGGGGTAGTGGGTGGTAACTCTCAAATTGTATTTTTAACATTTCAAGCAAAGAATAAACTGAGGGGTGTATGCATGTGTATACATTACTAAAATTCTCCAGAGAAGTTGAGTGCCTTGCAAAGCATATAGTATTGTAAGCCTTATTAAGTGACAGATCACAAGAGCCAAAAATAAAAATATTATACTAGTATTACATACTAGTTCAGCCTCAGCTGGTGTATTGCGTCCAGCTCTGGATGCTATGCTTTCAGAAGCATGAGAAGGCATCGGAGAGCATGCAGAAGTGGTTTATGAACATAGTTCCAGGGATTAATAATTTGGATTTTGATAGCTTGGAGAAGCTGGGGCTCTATCCTTAGAGAAAGCTGAGAGGAAATCTGCTTGTCAGACCTCTCGACACACAATATTTCAGAATAAATAACTAGAAAATATTCCCATTATTGAAAGTACGGGGATTGAGCAGGCACAGATCTTAAGTAATTTGTAAATGAAGCAAAAGTAATACAAGAAAAAAAAATCTTTTTATCATGCAGTGGGTGTTTAGGGTCTGAAATATGTTGTCTGGAGTATGGTGGAGGTGGATTCAATTGAGGCATTCAAAAGCAAAAATTGTTCCTTCTCTGATAACCATATGCAGAGTTACAGGGTGAAAGTAAGAGAATGATGATCTCATCTAGCATCAATGAGATGCTTATTCAGAGAGCTGGTGCAGACCATTTGCGCGCAACAGTTTTCTGTGCAGTAATAATTGCAGTCACAGGACTGGATTTCTCAACTATTTGTGAGACTTGTTAAGGATTGTACTTATTTTCTCTAAATTAGAATGCTTTGAGACTTGTTCTGAAACAATTCAAACAATTTTTTTCTCTCTGCTTGCAGCACTTTTTTGAGTTTTGATTAGCAGCTTTTCCAATTTTTGTTTAGAGATCCTACAAGTGTAGGGTTTTAATTTCAGCATGTTTTCTATTTACGACGTAGCTGACAGTTATTAGAAGCCGACTTTCAACTGTGGACAAGTTTGAAATAATGTATCCTGCCAGTGATGGTGAACTTGTGAGAAAGCTTGATTCAACACAGCCTGAAGAGGAAAGATACTACAGTGATACGGGAATACAGCTGCGTAAATCAGTAAAGGTGTGCATTACCTTTTCACGCATCCTGGAAGATTCTTGTTAACCCAGTGGTCTCTATATTATTCCAAATTTTAATATTGTAATAAAATAAGGCTGCCCATTATGCTTCTCAATATCCTCTGGATTATTAATTTACCATTTGTTTTCCTTGTGCTATCATTTGAGCCCTGTTCTTAAATATGGGGTCTTTGTTTTATTACATTGCTAATTTTCAAAATTAACAATGCAGGTTCTCTCCACATCATGATATTCTCAATCCACTTTATATTGGACTGAATTTTAGTCCAAACCTTTAACTACTTGGGCTTCAAAACTGAACTTAAAATGCTAGATAGGGTCATCCTTCGGTCCAATTCATCCATGTTGACAGGATATCCTAAATCCCATTTTGTCAGCATTTGCCAGTATCCCTGTGAACCCTTCAGATTCATATACCCATCCAGATGCCTTTTAAATGTTGTAATTGTACCAGCCTCCACCATTTTCTC